CTTGATGGCCTTTTCCGCCTTTCCCCTTAGCTATCCTTGAGGAGAATGATCTTCTCGATGACACTCATTACTCGAGTGTATTAGAGACTCATAGACTGCCCTATATTCTGGGGACTCTTCCTAGTTGTCACAGAACTTTGGCAAACTGATATTTGGGAGTTTAGCCGATCGCATTTTTGCGTCAAATCATGAATGGGACCGTCCTCGGATGATGCATGGCACCAACTCGCCCCAGTTGTGCTTTAAGTAGCGTCACTTCCCACGCTATCGTTGGATGATGGTAACTTGGGTTTCTCTGAGCTTTGGTGAGATTTACTCGAACCTCTGACAATTGGGCCTCGAGCTTATCCACGAAAACTTCAGCGGTCGCTAGATGTTGCGAAAATTGCGACTCTTTCTCTATTTCTTGTACTTCTAGCATCAACTCTTTCTGGTCGGCTTTTTTAGCGTTGGCGAACTGATTCTCCATTTTATCTATCTTTTCTTGGAGGTTCGATACGGCTGTTTTTATTCTAGTCAGTGCTGACTGCAGGAAGAGAGACGTTTGCCGTTGCTTTTTCATACAATTCCTCTTCATTTTCTGGATATTCCAAGTTATCTCCATAGGTCTTATATTTCTGGAGTAGTGCGGCTAGCGCAGAAACGCGAGCAAGAACTGATTTCTTGTGAAAAGAGAGAGACATATTGAGACATATTGACTACTATGTTCTAGATTCCTGTTTTCAGACACGCTGCTTGCTTCTGAGAAGTCTGTTGGACTGGGAGAATTCAACAGAAATTACGCTGCTGTTGAGCGGTTGAATATGAATACGTTTGCTGAATTCAGAGAATCCAACAAGATCTCCAGAACGTCACCTTTACACTTCAAGATCTCAAAACGACAGAGACAGTATCGACCGTCATCGCCATCTTTATCGACAACGATATCAACACTAACATCACTCATCATCAGTGTGTAACTGATTCCATGTGACTGATGTATTATTTGTTTATTTTAAATTGTCGTGTGTAGTATTTGAGAGTAGGACAAACTCACCACCCGGATGCATCGCTTACGCCGCCGCCCTCCCCCTCCCCACGAACCTCTGCGAACAATACGTCTTCGATCGTTGCATAATGCCGCAAGAAAGGATCGAGAAGCTGTGCTTCTCGCCGAACGATCACTAGGCCCATTTCGGTGGCGACACTTCGATTAACATGCATGTCATTTAGGTAAGAGCTGATTCTCAATGCCTTGCGCGCGTTGGGAATTTCGTCGTCTCGCGTTTCCCGCGACCTCAGATCATAGGATCGCCTGGTCACCACGTGGGGGTCTCAACGCGCGCCGCTACAGTACTACGGGAAATGCCGCACCAACGACGGATGGCCTAAAACCCGCACTTGCCACGTGCGCTCGTCTGCCGAGAAGGACCTATTCTCTTTTCGTCAGTCTCGCTTTCTGTCAACTCGTCTGGAGCCGCCGCGTCGTCTGAGCACGCAGAGCCGAAGATCTGCGCAGGAGCCAGGATTCCAAGGAAGGCAACTCAGGGCCGCTGCCAGGACGTGTCCCATTATGGCATACGCCTATGGATGCCACTCTGTGGTACGCCTTGAGGGTGAGGATCGGCTGCGCCGCCCCCTAGTGAGGCGGTGAGGTTCCTCCCTGGAGATCAGGATTCGGGTTTATTTTGTTTTGTAAATGTCATTATCGTAGAAGGCATAATCAAATGATAACTTGGTTGGAGTTTTCTATGATCATTTCCATCTCATATCTTATTCATTGCTAATCGGTGTTTCCCTATGACATCTACGACTGCGCACGCCGCCCCCCACAAATTGCAATGTACTTATTCACAGCCGCGCCCAATCCATCGCTGAGAGGTAGAGGTTGGGTACCCACACAAAAGTGATATCGAAAGTTCACATTTTAATCACATCGAGCCAAGTTGAAGTTGCCCGTGGCTAATGGCTAGCATGACCGGTCCTCGGCTCACTCAGGCCGATCAAACCGTCCTTCTCACCGTGAATCGACGTTGTTCCCTTCCCATCTGGAGCACTCAGACATTGCTATGCTTTTCTGGCTTCTGCAATGACTTTCAGGTGCAAGCGATGTCAGGGACGACGTCTTTATGCTCCTTATCTGATGGTGAGTAGGCATTTCATTCAAGCATGGCACAGAGTGGGTTACTCGTGGAAAAAAGCAAACCATCTCCACCTTCGGTTGGAGCCCACAGCCAAGTCCACCTTTTTTAAGGATTTTGAGCGTATTCCACAGGCAAGTGCGCTGAGAAGGCGTCTTCCGAGCCCGAGCCAACATTATTTCGACCAGTCAGCCATACTCGACGACAACAAGTGGACCGAGGAAAATCCCAGGTCTTCAGGTGACGGCATCTATGATTACTCCACTTTCGATTTGCAAGGTGAATGAAGTTGTTCCCCAAACCCTGGCGGTGCGACGGTTGTGCTTTTGCGGCGCCGTTTTCGTTTTGGGACAGTTGTGGTCATGTCTTTGTCCCACGTAAGGCAAGGTTACTGATATCCCAGGATGAAATGTCCTGCGAGCAATTCTTCCTGAACCATGTTCTAATGAAGTACGCCGCTGCGCCTACCTTTTCTCATGAACGTGAAGTGTATACAATTCGCAGTGACCACTCCTCAGTCTTGTTCGCTACGGACGGCAGACGCTTCAGGGGGTAGAGGGGGAGTGGAGGGGGGGGGGTACCAAATCGTTCCCCACCAGCTGTGGAAGCCGGCAAACGGCCACAATGGAGAGCGGGATGGCGCCGCGCCTGAGCCGCCCAACTGAAGCGCCTTAGCATCGGCAGCGAACAAGCTAAAGAATTCATACCAAAGAAAAAATGACATACCTTGATCAAACAGAGGAAAGCAGCCGGCTGAAAGTCTAGATATAACTTATGCGCTACCAATTCAGAGCGTTTGATCAGCACGGGAAGATCGTCAACTCCGTATACACAAGATAGACGATAATATCGTCCTAAAAAGTAAACGCCATTCTCAGCGAATAGCTACGCAGGCTAGTGAAGCAAAGTTGAAAGAGATGCCGAAATCCGAACGATTTATTTCTTTTAATCATCATTTATTCCGTGAGAGTCAACCCCTCTGAGGTGTTGGATTTCTATTCCGTTCTCTTAGGGGTAAAGGTGGAGTCGGATAAATGACCCCACTTACAGCCGCCATCCAGGCAGTGGTCAAAGGGTCTCAGACGCGGCTGCAGCGCGTCACGACCGCGGCGATCAGCTGTTTCCAGCCTATTTAGCCATTTTCTCTCTAATTTTCACTGTTTTTGGCTGCTTTTTTAAGGTTAGTTGTGCCTTGTTGAGGTGATTTGTGGCTGGATTTTTCTAATTTTGCGACAATTAAATAATTAAACAAACAATTAAACAAATACCTAAAAAATCGCAAAAACACTTCATTACAAAAACAAAAAAGAATCCACGTCCTAATATACTCCATAAAAGCAAAAAACAACTTACCTTGAAGAAAAAATACTACAGTCGACTGCCTGCCGATCGACCGCCTGTCTTATGCCACCCTCATCGGTCCAGTTTTACTTCCTATTGTAATGGATCATTCCACTCTTGTCTCTATTCCTTTGGCTTCACTACCTATTCGGGAGCGACCTCATAAAAGGAAACTTCCTCAAGCATATCGAATTGATGCCTCGCGGATGCCGTAAAACATTTGACTAGCGACGTTTCTCTCCCTGTGCACGTCAAGACGATACTGATACATCTTCTTGAAAAGAGTACTGAAACAGACTTTAATTGAACGTAATCGGAAATTAGAGGAGACGGCAGAGTTTCAGAAAGCTGAGAATAACCGTCTTAGGAAAGAGTTAGAGATGTTGAGAAATACATAGATTAATGTAGCCACTAATGCCCTCACTTATTCGAATAATGTCTCACCTCCTAATACATCGATTGATTGTTGTATTGCGCATGAAAGGCTAAGGTCAGTTGTCATCTTTGGTACATCCGAATCTACTGATCCTAATTGCACTGTTCGGGTTTCTAATGATTTCGAGTGCATCAAGAAAGTCTTCCATTTTTTATTGATTGAGTGTCCGTTCCCCGTGGTTTATAGAAGGGTAGGCCGAATTCTAGTTATCCAAGGCTTTTGAAAGTTTTCCTCCCTAATGTATTCTTCCGAAACCAATTGTTTCTAGGGCATCTATTTTAGAGCATTTCCCAGTTTCTGGTATTTATATTAGGCCATCTTTAATATCTTGGAGCTGAGCGTGATTGCTCTCACCCAGAGCTCTTGGAAATGCAACTGTGAATTCTCGAGTTCAGTCTGTCCCACATCCTGCAGTCAATCATTCTGAATAAGCTGTTGGTTTGAACGCTTGTTCGCAGATACTTGTATATCTACTGCGATATTTCTCCCATTATGTTTTTTATATTTTGTCTGAATTGATT